AAGGTGGATGCACCTCAAGACCATAATCTAAGTGAAAGAAACCAGACACATAAGTTTAAGTACTGCTCTGTTGTGTGAGAAACCCACAGGGTAAACAAGGAGCATACTGGAGGATAGATATTGGCAAGTAGGAAGAACATGTTCAAATAGGGAGGGAAAGAAGGGAGGGAAGAGGGGGGAGGGAAGAAAGGGAGAAGGAAAAAGAATAGAAGGAAAAATGGAAACAACCTTTTGTAAATGGGGAGGGGAAGAAGAGTTGAAAGGAGGGGAGAAGAATGCAGAAAAAAAGAATTAAGATACATGTAGGTACAAATTCCCTATGGTAAATGTGATCAAAATGTGTGACATATATGAATACATACAGAATATGAAGGGTTGTTTTTTTTTTTTTAAAAAAAAGTACAAATTCGGCCTGGCATGGTGGCACACACCAGTAATCCCTGCACTCTGGGATGCTGAGGCAGGAGGATCTGAAGTTCAAGCCCAGTCTGGGCAATTTAGTGAGACCCTGTGTCAAAATTTAAAAGGGTGGAGGGCAGTGGGCTCAACTGCCCATACTGAAGAGGAAAGAAAGGTACAAATTCCACTCAAGCCTATAAACAAGAGCCAGTATTTTGCATTTTATTATGTCCAACCAAACTGACCTCCTTGAGAGGTTGTCAATGTGTACCTGTGGATTATTGCTTTCCCTCTCTGTGACTCTTTTTCATTCCTTTCCTTTATTGAAACAAAGCACGTAAGATACACTTCCTCTGCCTTCTTGCTTGTTTTTTCAAAGAGTCTCATCATATAGTACAGGCTGGCTTCAAATGTGCCATCCTCCTGCCGCAGCCTCCCCATTGCTGGGATTACAGGTATGTATCGCTATATCTGGCTTTCTACCTTGTTTTTACTATTGTCACTATTTGTGTTTTTGAGTACTGTGTTTTTTAAAATGCATGAGACCACAGATTCATCTGTTAACCTGACCTCTTGCTGAACGTGTTACCCATTTCCACTCCAGGCACCACTCAGATTATGGAAGTGGGAGGTAGGGCTGGGGCGGGATTTGGTGGTAGAGCACTTGTTTACCATGCAAGAAGCCCTGGGTTCAATTTCCCGTCTGAAACTAAAGTCATGAGAATGCCTCTGCTTAATACTAGTGAGCAACCCTGTCAAGAATATGACTGAGTATCTCCTTTATATGTGAAAGCACACAACTACCTCTACGCTCAGACACTCAGCCTGGTTGTCAAAACTACAGAATTATACTATACAGCAATGTCATACCCAGAGAAAAGTCAGGCCAGTCACCTCTGAAAATCACCCTGTGTATCTTGGTGCTTTCATCCCACTGTTGGGAAGTACAACCAGAGGAAATACACTCACCAACTTACCAAGAAATCCCACATGACCTTTCTGATGGCAGAAACACATCTTAGATTACAGTTTATATACTTACTAATTCTGTGACACCTTGTGAAGAACAGAAAAATGTTCACATTTGGGTAAAGCAGGACACAAAACATCAACTGAAAGAGCATTAATTTAAAGAAAAAAAAAATAAGCTTTCAACCCTACATACAGATCACATCAAATGAGCACTACGGCCGGCTCCCTACCCGTGACCTCTATGTATAACAGGAACTATTCCTAAGACTCCTCACCAGCAACTCTAAGTTGAAGTTCTGTTCAGTCTCCCCACCTGGGTCCCTCCACAATTCTCACAGAAGAGACCTCTCAGGAGAAGGTAAAAGATTTACTGATTCGTTTGAGTTTCTGGTTCTGAGTTTTGCAGTGCTGGGGAACTGAACCCAAGGTCTTATGCAAGCTAGATTAGCACTGTACCCGTGAGCTATGTTTCCAGCCCGCCTCAGGGTTTTTAACTTTGGTTAGGGAACCCCGACTTAGAGATACATGGGTAACATCTCTCAGTATGGCTGAGATTAGAAATGTAAACATTTACTTCTTAGAAATACCCAGAAACCATTTTGATTCACTTGCTATGCTCATAACTAATGAACCATCACATAACTTTACAATATGGACTGGCTTCAAAAGAAGGCATCTAATATTTCCTATTTTTTCTAGGTAAATAAGACAAAAAGAAAAGTATCTTTTAAAAATACAAACATAAGCTGATGACTCTCAAGGTCTGACAGTCTGAGACTTGGAATCTATGATGCTTGTCTCTTGGCTAAATCAAGTAAAAAAGTAGCTCCATGAAATTTCCTAAACCATATTTATTATAATAAGAAATCTTTGCTTTCTCTACTGCTTTATAAACATGTCTTAAGACTCCTTTTGTCACTGATGTTTAATGATCAAATGATTATTCTGTATTAGGAAGCACAGAATTCTGGTAGCCAACCTGTCCTCCAGAGAGGCAGGTGACCAGAAGTGGAGAATGGCAAATCCTGACACAGCTGCCCAGAGCCTGGCTCCTGAGGATCCACACTGCACTGAACAACCAATGTCCTCCATACTCAGTTTGTGTTAAACACGTACACATGTGGATGGATATATGGTAGAAAAGAACATCTGTGAGTTTCTTCTCACTAAAATCAGATAACTATTAAGGACTCTAATCACCATTACCATTCAAATTGCTAATCTACCAGGAAATGCCATTATATCACAGCATATTTTAAAAGATAAAAATGTTTCAACTACAGAATATTGTTGGATTTGAGTGGCAATCTACCATGAACTCAGAAATGCTTCCTTTTTCATGAAAAATGTTTTGAGTTTTTAAATAGAAAAATAACAAAAGATACAAAGATACATTTATCATTTTAAAAGAAAAATAAGATACCAGGAATATGCAAGAAATCAGGAGAAGGTAAAAGTGATAAGAAATCAACTGAAACACATCTTCTGGGAATAAAAATATTTATTCAAGATCCTATTAAAGTATACAAAGGACAGGGACGTAAAAGAATCAATATGTACAATTACCAATACTCCATGATGAAAATATTTATTATGTACTACAAACATGTACTAACAAAAAAATTTTTTTAATAAAGTATACAAAGAGCAAATTTATCTTGGGATTAAACCAAAGAAACATTTAAAGTACATGTTACTCCAGTATTAAGGCATATTAGTCAAGGAGTATCAGCCTTGATCTTGATGGAACTGACCTCTTAATAGCATTTCCCACAGTTTATTCTGAAAGTTAAAAATTACTAAGTATAAGTTAAACTTTAAAGTTCATAAAATCAAAAATATTTTTAAAAATTTACTTATTTATGTTTATTCTAAAGGCTCTGAGGGGGTTGGTAGAGGAGTAAGTACAGTGCAGGGGTAACTCTGAACAGTATCTGATAATCCTGTAAAATACAATTCTGGTGAGCAGGCACTGATTTTTTTTTTTTAAAGAAATGCTTCGATGCACAAGAAGATAAATCTAAGACTACACTTTTATCCAGTTAGAAAAGGCGAGCTTTTCTGAGTAGGACAGAAAAAACTACCAATACCTTTCAATAAAGGATGCTTTTGGATAAAATAAAATTTTGCTAAAATGCTTCCTAAGAAGAAAAAGCTTTGAAAACCAGACTGGGGGGTGGACAATGTTTAAAATAAAGCAGCACGGAGGCAAGACTCCCAAGCTTTCACCCTCCAGAGACTCGTCAATGATCATCCAAAACAACTGGGATGCACAGAACAGCACTTCTTCCACTTGCTTAAAAGAAACTGTTAGAAGCTGAAACTCTCTTAAGTGTCACACAAAGAAAATACGTTCTGAAATGAAATGGGTACCATTTCAATACCCAAAGAGCTACCCAAGACAAGCTGGAGGCACTGTGATGGCAGAGGAGAAGCAGACAGGAGGTTGGCATGTTTTTGAGTTTCCACAAGTTTCCCCAAGTTTCCATTTACAGGCCGTGGACTCCATGTGGGAACCCTACCTTGCTCTTCGGTGACTCTTTTTTTTTACTGGTAGGAATCTGGTCCTTTAGATATAAAAATCATATTCATCATAGGAAATTTGTGCTCATACATATTTTGATTCCTCTTTTTTCCCAATCCCTTCTCCTCCCTTCAACTCATCTTCTCCTATTTATAAGGCTTTGTTTCCATTTTATCCTTTTTTCATCTTTCCCCGCCCCCATTCTTCCCTTTTGAGCAATTTCTTCCCAGCTCACAATATCTACTGCACATTTTGTACCTCATTTACTCTTTCAGAACCTTGAGCGCACAGTGAAATCACCTGCAAAGGTCTCGTTCTTAATACCCCGGCCTGGACCCCGCCCAAGACCCATGAAATCAGAAGCCCTGGTATGTAGCACAGGCATTAGGACTTTTTAAAGCTCCCAGAGGTTCCAATGTGCAGCCAGGGTAAGAGCCCGAAGGCTGAGAAAAGTCAGGGATGACTGTAATTACTGTGTCTGAACAGCAGTGACAGAAACCAGTACTTCAGGAAGACATTTTTCCTTTGCTAGTGCTAGCCGCCCTGTGTCTTGCACGCCATGCACCACACTGACCACTTCCCTGGGTTAGCACGGGGGTGCACAGACCCACACCGCCCTCCACCCCGCTCCCTGCACACCCACCCTGCACACCCATTACCACCAGCTTCTGTTCCTCTGCAAGAACAAGTGCTGCCCCTTTACCCCAGAGAGCGGACGAGGGGGTCTTGCCCGCCCACCACAGAGCAAGGAAGTGTAAACTGGAACAGAATCTGCACGCAGCTGGCTATAAAAGCCATGCCTTTATTTTAAGGCATGCTTTTTATTTTCCCTTAACTTTATGTATTTATGTTGTCGTACAGGTTTATAAAGAAAACATAAAGGTTTCTAAAGTAGAAAAGCAGGTAGAAAGTATAGAAAGGATTAAACTCATTCATAATGATTTTCTGTCATGAATGAAGTTCAAATGCAGGAACCTCAGGTATCCGTGACTCCTATCCCTTCACCATCAGCTCCTCTTCCTGGAGACACAGCCAGCAGCTTCTTCTTGATGTTTCCGCAGTTATTTAATACAAATAGAAGCAATGCACATAAGCAGATGCCATATGTGTGTAAACATCATATATTTGGGTTCCCCCAATTCACTTTGAACAACAGTAGCATAGTTCACACCGTTTTGCACACACGTTTTTCAACTAGCAACATATCTTAGAGATAATTCCTTATAAAAAACTCTTTTTTGTACCACATAGTATTCCAGTGTACAACAATACCATTACTTTTTTAACCAGTCCCTTATCGGTGGGCATTAGATTACTTCTGCCTATTTGCTACTACTACAAATGCTGGAATAAACAACCCTGAGTGGAGCATTTCGTGAGTTCGGTCACAGCTGTACCTGTGAAATAATTCTTAGATGAAAATGCCATGCTCTTTCCATTATCCCATGCAACCTCGGACTCCTAAGAAACAACTTATAGGCGGACTCATAATGGTTCATTTTATTTTATTCAAAAACTCTGCTTTCATACCCTAATTGTGTTTTTCATTTTCAGTAAGAAACTAGGAATGTTCTCCCGAATACGCTGAGACTGAAATAGTCTGAGACAGTTCCGAATGCAGTGAAGTCCCGCTGTGCACGGCTGGCTCTTGCTGGCTCAGAAGGTGTCTGCCCCCGAGGACCCCGTGTCCCCCTGGATGGCGCTGACACTCTGGGATGGGGAGCAGTCCTCCAGGTTCACTGCGGGCAGCGTCACGCACATTCTGGCAGGGGACGGCTGTGAAGTGAAGCAGGGCACCGCCTCGCCACCTGCCCAAAGGAGAAACCGTCAGCTCAGCCAGGGTCCCGTCACTGTTAGGTCCATTTCCCTTTCTCTATAACATGGGGCATCAAAAGCAAGGACTGCACACGGGGAATTCTTTTCCTCAAGGTATCAGAATTTGTCAGACATATAACACACCTTTCCCCTCTTCCCCACCCCATCACTCCTAGTCAGTTAAGACAACATTTACAAAATATGGAAGTGCTAAAAGTTACGGAACACACAGATGATAAAATGTGCTAAGTGAGTTCACATCAGGTTAATAGCCTCACCTCTGAAATCCAGATTTAACCTTTTACTGGCTGTGTGATTTGGGGCAAGTTATTTTACCATTCAGAAGTTCAGTTTCCTCACCTATGAAGAGGGATAATAGTATCTACCTTGCAGAGTACATGAGGGGCAAAAAAAAACCACAACAACAGTATTGGTAAGGAGTTCTGACTAAGAACTTAGTCAGTGCCCCAAAACAAACAGCTACTGTTACCACTAAAAGGCTACTACAGTTACCCTTAAATAAGTACTCAAAAGTCCAATCCAAAAGCAACAACAACACTACAATGGCTCTAAAATAAGAGACTGTTGTTATTTATAGAAAGAACATTATTTTTTTAAGGGGGTAAGGTACGAGCCATGTAAAAAGCATATGAAGTTAAAGGTTGCTAAAACACCTTGCTGTTTCTATTTCTATAAAATGGACCCTCATCTCAGGACCACACCACTAACAATCACTCACTAAGTGCCTAAGCTATTAGCACTATACCATGGGTAAGCAATGTCAAAAGAAAAATACTAAAGTGGTCAATCAAATATTATTGACATTTGACTTGGCAAGCAGCTTTTTCTGTGAAATAGATTTTTCTTCATTAGCTTTACAGTTAATCAAACATGGAAAGAATTCTACTCTATGGATTGAGAGCAATATTGTATTGCTTCCTATAGGAGTTGGCTGGTAGGTGCAAAGGAGGTAGTTCCAGATGAATATGCTCATACTAAAAGGTAGCTGCTACACAGGGTGGCTATCTGAGTATAACCTAATTCACCCAAGTTTTCATTATTAAAGAATATAAAAAATGTCAACTTGGCATCATTTGAAACTACAAAAATGCTGATCTTTTAAAATTTTTCATATAAGCACACAACGTATTTTGGTCATATCCATACCTCCCCCTTATTCCATTTCTCTGGTCTAATAATGGTATCTTTTCCACTTTCATGTCTTCTTTGTTTTTGTTTTTAGACTCCATGTGTTAGAGAAAATATGCGACACTCATCTTTCTAGGTCTTATTTTGCTTAACACGATGATCTCCAGCACTACCCATCTTCCTACAAATGACATGGCTTTGTCCCCTTTACGGCAGGACCCTACTCCACCGTGTGTACATACCACATTCTCATGGTCTACTCACCTGTGGTTGGGCACCTATGCTGCTTCCACATCTTGACTACTGTGAATTCTGCCACAATAAACATGGGCACGCAGGTACCTCTGTGGTTTGCTGACTTTAATTGCTTTGGGTACATACCGAAGAATGGTGTATAGCTGGATCACATAGTAGTTCTATTTTTAGTTTTTTGAGGAACCTCTACACTGATTTCCACAGTGGCTATCCTAGTTTAGCAGTACAAAAAGGTTTCTTTCTCCTGCATTCTCACTAACATTTATGTGCATTGTGTTCTGTATTCTTAAAAACAGTCATCGTGACTGGAGTGAGATGGAATCTCAATGGAGTTTTGATCTGCACAAAAACCTTATTTTAAATTTTATGGATTTACCATAGATGTAAGATTAAAACAACTTAAAAACAAATGTTCTTTATCTTAAAGACACGTCTGAGTCAAGAGTCACAGCAATTTTCGTAAAACCCTTTACATTTTTGGATAGTTTCCACAGTAATAAAGTGGACTTTTCTGTTAAATTTTTATAGGGGGTACAGTAAAAGCAGACAGTCTTGCAGATTTCAATGATGACTCAATCACAGCTGTCCAAAATGATCAGGATATTTGGAAACGGCACATTCCTTTAATATTAGGAAGTCTAACAAAGACTATACTATACCACTGCTTTTTTCTTACCTGCAGAAATTTAATTTTTTTATAAAAATAAGGAAAGGAGATAGGTTTGGCATACTTACAGTAACATCACAAACTATAGTACCATCAAATTTAAGAAGAAAACAATTTAAATAGATTGAATATTTTCAAAAGGAAAAAAGACTTTCGAATTTAACTATCAGGGTTTGATAAAACCTAGATATGAAATGCTAAAAACTACATTAAAACATTTATAGTTCATACACATTATTAAAATAGTCTTACAAAGCCATGATGCAGAGTACACAAAATAACTAAGAGAAGCATCCAAGACCTTACCTCGTTAGTAAGAAAATTAAGACAGGAGATACTTCAGGGCTAATAATTTTATTGGTACACTGTAGATATACACAACATTTATCATATGAAATTTACATCTGCACATGATATGCTGTGATTTTTCTTCCTTTCCCCTTTCCCTTTCCTCACTTCAACCCCTCTTCCCCTCCTGATTATTATTTTTCTTTTTGAGACAGTCTCACTTTGTAACCCAGGCTGGCTTTGAACTCCCAGTGATCCTCCTGCCTCAGCCTCCCAAGTGCTGGGATTACAGGCGTGCGCCACCATTCCTTCCCCTCATTATTTATAAAAGCTTTGTTTCCATTTCTGCTCAATCATATAACTTTTTTAGGGATTTTGATGAAATTTCCAAGTCTCAAGGGACATATTAAATTCAATCATGAAAAGTTACTGCTTTATATCTACATAGAAATGCAAAATTTTAGAAATACCTTTTCCTTCATCATCTTCTCTAACAATAATTCTGGGAGACAGACAGTGTAACTGAGGCATGGAGCTGTTACAGTGGATTTTTAAAAGCACATACTGCCGGGCATGGTGGTGCATGCCTGTGATCCCAGGACTTGGGAGGCTGAGGCAGGAGGATCGTTAGGAGTTTGAAGCCAGCCTGGGCTACAAAAGGAGTTTAAGACTAGCCTGAACTGCATAGTAAGACCTTATTTCAAAAGGACAAAAAAGAAAAAAAAAAAAAAGCACCTACTGACTGGCTACACATCTACATGAACATACTCATGGATGGAGCTAAGACAGCAAAGAGGATACAAACATGAAAAAGGCCCTGCCCATCCTTAAGATGCTCCTGATTTCTTAGCAGAGGTAAGCATGTAGCATTCTTTACTTAAATTAGGTGAAAGGAGAAGTTGAGCTGGGACCTAAAAGATGTTGGGAAGACAATAAAGGAAAAGAACAACAAACTAAAGTCAAGGTTCAGATTAGTGTGGAAGGGAACCCTGAGGATTCTGGTATCGAAGTACGGACTGGACTGAAGGAAAGGTAAGACGAGGTTCTACCGAAGGCCAGGGCTACATCATACAAACAGTGGAGAATCACAAAAGATTCTGAACAGGTTTTGAACAGTGCAAATGTATTTTAGAAAAGATAATTCTAATAGCTGTGGAAAATAAGGAGAATAGGGATGGATGGCAAAAATCCACGGATGAACTAACGACCCTTCACAGTGGGCCTAGAGTCAAGATCCTTTGGAAAAAGATTCAGTCCTTATTAAGAATGGTGTTTCGCACAGAAACGACAGATCAGGGTGGGTGAGAAGGGAGGAATACCATAAGGACACAAGGAAATGTGAGGGCTACAAAGGTGCACAGAGATGAGAAATTCTGAGATCAGTTATGTCCTGGGTGACTAGGGATGCTTAGAAGATGTGTGAACAGACTTTTCCAGCAGGCAGTTGGAGACAAAGACTTTAAAGACTGTAAGGCAGTTTGATTTGGTTTTGGGTTTGTTTTTTTTTGTGTGTGAGACAAGATCTTACTATTACTGTAGATAGGCCTCAAACTCATGGTGATCCTCCTGCCTCAGCCTCCTAAGTGCTGGGATTACAGGTGTGTGCTACCACGCCTGGCATGTAAGGCAGTTTTAGAGCTATAGAAGTAGCAGCCATCTACACAGACATACTGCTTATCGTAACGGGAACTGCAATCACCTAGGGAGAAAAACAGATTGAGAACAAAAATGGCAACAAAACGGTAGGGAAGGGATCCACTCTCACTGGCCTCACACGCTAACTGGGTGTAGGCGATGACCCGCAAACAAATAAGGATATAAACAGGTCATAGCCAGTCATGGTCTTCACAGAATTTTTAAATTTTTTTAAAGGAAAGACATAATATCTTAATAAGTCACCAATAAAGCAATCATAACTCTTCTACCTATGTTAACATTGTTTGATGCTTTTAAGTCTGACTTTTAAAATGTCAAGTCAAGTCAAAATTTCCATAGAGTATGGTACAATTGTTTCAATAGCTGTTTTCACGTCTAAAAATGAAAAAAAAAGGACGATTCCTTGCTTCCATAGGTTTGTAGTATGTCATTGCACCTGGCATCCATTCGAGCTGGGGATGCCATAGAATCAGACCATGTGTTTAATGCTTCCTATGACACAATCTAAAATACTTTTTAGACATCAAAATACCAAGCTTTTGCTTTAAAATATTTAAAAATTCAAAGAAAATATGTTTTCTGCTCCTTGATGGAGGATTTATATGACTAATGAACAAAACTACTAAAAGTAATTTATTCTAAATGATACAGGTAATGATACAGAATTTTTAGTGTCCACTTAAGATGTTACTTGTTTATTCTACACATATTTAAAAATATAAATAACGTAGCCTTCAAAAAGCTTTTCAGGTTTAGATATTCCATTTCATCAACAGGTTTCAGATTCCAACTCTTAACCTTGAAACACTCGGTAACCCATTATCATACATCTGTTATTTGCAAACTGAGAGCAACTCAAACAAAGCACTGTCGCCTAAAACAACACAAGACAAGCAGAGAAAAGAAGGAAAAGAGTCATCAGTAGCTCCACAGAGCACAGCACCTCTCGAACAGTTCATTTGGACTGAACACACACAC